GAAAGCAAAGTATTTCTTATAAACTGGCACTAAGTCTTAAAAATTTGGAGATTTTCATCATGGCCTTGGATTTAGCAAAGAATCCTTAGATATGACACCAAATGCATGAAAAAAGAAAGAAAAAAAATAGATAAAGCTTCAGAAAAATTAAAAACTTTTATGCTTCAAAGGACTCCATCAAAAAAGAGAAAAGATAACCAACAGAATGGAATACAGTATTTGCAAATCTTGTATCTCATAAGGAACTCGTATCCAAAATGTAGAAAGAACTCTTACAGCTCAATAATGGAAAAGACAACCCCATTTAAAAAATGTTATAAAGTTAAATTTCTAAATATTTAAAATAAAAATTAGGAGATTTTGTCTTGAAATCCAGATGCTCTGGAAACACTGAAAGAGCTAACCACTCTGGGCTTACATCCCTTCACGGCAATGACAGGAGAGCTGAGCAGGGGCTGCCTCCTCTAAATGAGCTCCCTAGTCAGCCACAGTCCCCACTACTCTCCGCGGTTCCCCAGCCCAGCCTACTTTCCTCACTGAAGCCACTGAAGGTGATGATGGCTCTTAAGGTCATTATCCAATCACTCCAAGGCATAATCTCTTTAACATTAAATTCATTCTCATGCTAAGTTGGCAGTTTTTTAGATTTTAGATTTTTCTTTCTTTTCCTTCACTTTTCCTTCAATATTGCCATATTCCAAGAAAACTCTTCAAAGTCAAGGATATATCATATATTTTGCATCTCTCACAACACTCAGGACAAGACTAAGAACAAAGTCGATGCTCAGTGTTCACTGGGTGAATGTGTAAATGAGTGAGTAAATAAATGCTTCTCTGTGATTGTCTTCACTACCTGCTCTTCTTCCCCTCAATTCTAGACTTATGCCATTAAAAAGATGGCCTAAAATGAATATGGATGTGTAATTAAAAAATCAAACACTGAAGTCAATCACTGAATTTCTATTAGGATGAAATCGAAATTTGAACTCTGAATAAATGCAGAAGAGACCATTACATCTGACATCAAGATGAATTAGAATCCAGGGTACTGGAAAATGCTTGTGAATAAGATTAACAAACACTATCAGTGATCTTTGAGGACACTGTGAAAGATAGCATAAGTGCCAAAAAGCTGGAGATGGGAAAATGTTCTGATTTTCAAAGGGGGAAAGAAGTTTGAGTTTGCCAGTTCCAGATTGGAGAATATGGTGTCACTCTTAGGCAGGGTTCCTGAACAGGTTCATAGAGGAGGACTTGTGAACACCTCAGACAAGAAGCAATATCCATTTGGAGCCAGCACAGGGTCACCAAGAACAAGTCATATTAAATTCACTTCATTTTCTTCTCTCTGATAAGGCTCCTAGCCCAGTGGGTTGGAGAAACATAGCAGATACAATATATATGGTGCAATGAGAGAGTGGGCAGTGAAAAGGGCTAATTCAACCCTTGAGCTATATTAATAGAAGTATTACATACACCATAAATTAGGAAGTGATGTTGTTTCCTTTCTCTGATCACATTTAAAGAGTCTCATTTAGAACTTAGTATCACTCTTGAAGAATATTTTTGACAGTACAGTCTTCTGCAGGTCCATTTGGCAAAATCTCTTTAAAAGCATAAAGCTCTAATCCAGATTAATGGCATCTGTTGAAAAACTGAAATATCTGGCTGGGCCTACATTCTAAATGGTAACAACTGGTTCAACGCAAGTAGTGACTGTCCATTTGGACAGGACATGTGTTCTCAGGCCAACCATAATCACCACCCTCCTTCTTATATTGCGCTGGCTGAGGTGGTGGGCCAACTGCCACAAATAATCTTACTTGGCCAGCTTCACTCACTTATTCTCTCTGCCAAACACTCAAAGGCCTGGAGTTTGCAACCCCGGATGCAGAAGATCCAAAGGAGAGTTAAGATGATAAAGCACCAGTGAACCACCTTGTATGAGCAAATGAGAATCACAGTTCAGGGCTGGTGATCAGAGTCTGCAAATATCCAATGGGCAGTCATGGGGAAAAAGCATCTGTCTCGTTCTATGAAGTCCCAAGGTATAGAACCAAAAGGTGGATGAGAAACATACTTAACCCAACATTAAAAAACTCCTTACAACAGCCAGAGTGGTCTAAAAATGGAATATGTGGGCTTTGGAAGTGGTGAGTTCCCCATCACTGGAAATGTGCAGGCATATGGTGTCTCCTGTGTCACAGGTATATAATCAAAGGGATTCAAGGGTCTGATTAGGCAAGAGAAGGCATGAGTCTGAAATTTTTCACAATAGGAAAAAGAACTTTGAAAACAGTCCCCTTTGTTCCAGTCAGTAAATTCTTCAAAAAGAGAAAAAAGGGACTAAGCCAAGAAAGAACTCAGTATCACTTTTAAAAATCAAAAGCCGTCTCACAAAACGCACAGAGGACAAAATCCGTCAGACTAGGTGCAGTGTTTGTGCCAGACTGGCCAAATGATACCCAAGGTAACTGGCGTCAGGCATTATTTTTGATGACTGGTCAAACGCTCTTCAGAGGCCAGCAACAAAGGCAAGGGAGGAAAGTAAGAGGGTAAACAATGGACTGTGATCGGGAGGCAGCCGGTCCCCACCACAAAACTGCCATCTGCTACTGACATCAATCCTTCAAGGGGCAGCTTCAGGCAAACAATGTATCAGGGACACTGGGCCTGGAAGGAAACCAACTGCCTTCACATTTCCCACCTTGTGACCTTGGGCAAGTCATTTAACATTACAAGGCCTCAGTTTCCTCATCTCTAAAACTGAGCTCCTACAAACTCTGTCTGTACTTTGTGCAAGCTAAGAGGGGCGAGGTCTGGGAGTGAGCCATGGAAACTATCGAGCCCTGAACACACATCAATAAATGATGATGATGATGAACAATTAGAATCTTGACAGAAAAGATTCCAGTTTCAGGCACAGTAGCATCCTGACCTAAATGGTGTGGATGTCAACCCTAGAGGAATAAAATGAAACTCTTTTAACCAGAATGCAAAGACATTTAGAGTTTAGAAGAGATAAGATCATTTGGACAAATTTCCTGCTGAAATGCATTACCCTGCCCTTGCTATTTAGTTGTTAAAATAAAGGCAAAAGGTAAAAAGTAAAAGAATCACTCAGAGTTACAAATGCTTAGTTGATCCTCAAGCAGAGTTCACAGTCCCAGTGGTAGCAATCCTTCAAAAATTAGGTAAGTACATTTCCTACCAAGCCAATGCTTATAAAAGCCCCAAACTGTCCCAAACTTGGCCTAACCTTCTCTCTGATGGCATTTTCCATGGGAAACTCAGTTTTTAAGGAAAAAAATAAAAATCAGCCAGACTAGTCTTACAGAACATAAACTCCCTAAAAAGTGTGCAGGCTTTTGTACTCAGCAGTCAGAGAATTCAGATCCCTGACCAATAAAAGGGTGGATTTCTAAATTTTCAGCAAGGCTGAAGCACTGTAAGTCACTGTTTTCCACACTGAACTGAAAACTGCAGAGGAGGCACCCAGGGAAGAGCTGGGTTTTCTGCTCATTTCTCCCTGGGGTCTACAGAGAGGTGATCTGCATGCTGGGTTTGACCAGAACTAAAAGGCACAAGCCGGCTGGCGAGGCTGGAAAAAAACAAAGCTTTCCCCTGATGGCTGCTCCCCTCCCAAAGTTTCCCAAGCATCTGAAGCGTGGACAGCAGCTGTGATGCGCGACCTCCCAACGCTCCTGGGGGGGCCACCCGACTTCCTGGGTCACTGAGCCTTGAACAGTAGCGGCACCTAGAAGCGGGTGTGGAACCTCAGGTCACCAGAGCATCAGATAACCAACTTGCTCAAGAGTCCTGGCAGGGGGCAGGCATCAACACCCCCCTGAAGATGTACTCTGTCCTTACTCTTTCTACAAGCGACCACAACACACCCTATGTCACAGCAAGGAGAACCATGACCAGAAAGAAATCAGACGCCAAGAGGCCCAGGCTTCCCTTAGGGTATTACCCTAAAAGAAAGGGTGAGCATGGTGGATGGTGCTTTCATGTTTTCCTTGCCAAAGCTGAGCCTAGGACTCACAAGGGTGCGAGAAGCCCCAATCTGGCCTGAATAAGGAATCTACCTGAATTTGTCTATGCAATTGTGTCTGGTTTCCGCTTTACCCTTGCTAGTGTGGATTTAGGGAGCGGCTTCTGAGAGGAGTGTGCACCCCGTGAGTGGCACTAAAGCTGGAACGAGCAGCCAGAGGTCACCTCAGCTTCCTGGCAGGCTTTCCCTGACACTACGGAAGCCAGGCAGCACCCACCAGCCAGCACACTGAACCACTGGCTTTCAATGAAGGCTGATGACCCTAAACACTAGTGCATGGATGGTGACGGGGGCTGCACACTGTGAGACAATACATTTTCTGCACTGAGCTCCCTCTTTATGCCTAAATGCCTGCATTAGTTTGGATCAATATGCTCCATAACAGTTAATCCATGGCAACCCAGGCCAGCTGAGAGTCACCGACAAAGAAGTGCAGCCCAGGGACGCTGCTTCCCACAGTATATGCATGTGAATTCCAGACCAGAGAAAGGGGCAGAGGCAAAGCAACGACAAAAAACAGAAAGGAGAAAGAGAGGGGGAAAAAAAGCAGATCATAAAAAAACATACATCATATCATGGGGCTTTTTGCATGGCGGGGGGAGGAGGTAGTGACTGTCTTTGGCAGTGACTGTCAAAATGGCCTGAGAGTAACATGTCACGGCCGAGATGACGGAGTATCTGAGACACTCCTAAAGCCGGGTGTAGGATCCTCCTCACACACCTGCAATGCAGTGATCGCCGCCCGTTCTACAATCCGTACTCCTAGCACCAGCGCTCTCTGCAGTCGAAACCAGTCCGGACTTGTGCAGCTGCCACTGTTCCTCCTCACAATAAGATTATTGATGCATAACAACATTTCATGATGGCAGGGAGGGAAAGGGGGAAAAAAGCCAAAGCAAGAGAAAGAAAAGGGAGGGGAGGCATGACTCCCCAGCCCGAATCTCACCTTTTATTTGGGCTTCATATTCGGCAATGATCTCTTTGTCTTTCTTGAACTTAGTTTGAGATGACATCTTCCAATGTGGCCAAAGGCACTGACAGGCTGTTGGATTTATTGCTCCTTTTCTTCCCAAGTCCTTGCTCCAACCCTAGTAATCACACGGCTCTGGTCGATTTCACAGGTGTAGGGGGCTAATCTCTTTCACTCAGCTGCAGAGCCAGCGGAAAAATCCCTCTCGTTCTCAAAGGAAATTTCTCTTTACTTGGCGAGAAAAATGTCTCAAGTAGCTCGGTCTGGTCAACTCCTCTTGCAGAAGAACCACCAACCTAGGGGCACGGTAACCTGCCCAAGATTTTCAAGATTTTTCTTCCAAAAAAAATAATAACCAAGAGCACTCACTCACACACTCTCACACACACGCAGACACACACATACAGACACACAGTCACGCGTGCACTGGCACACTCATCCAGCCATGCACACACACAGTCGTGATGCACACTCACACACCCTCACACCCGCTCACCCTCTCACACACACTCACACACACACACACACACACATCCACAAGAGGCGCGGCGCCTCCTTGGTCCTGCAGTCAGCCGCCGGCTGTTTTTCCAAGGTTCTGTTAAAGAGATGGTCAGGTTGCCAAAGGGCCGGTCATCTCGCATCCTCCCTCCCTTCGGTGCCTCTGGTCCGATATACAGTGAGGCTCAAAGCCAGGAGAGCGAGGTGGAAGTTCTCCTGCTGCAAGGCTTAAGCTCCGGTGAACCGGAGGCTGGACTGCACGCCCTGCAGGGCTGGCCGAGCGCTCCCCCACCGCTCTCGTCACAAGCTCCACCTCCCGGATTTTATAACAACTGACACATTGTAGCCTACAGGGGAGCAGAACTCACTGCAAGCAAAAAGAGGAAGAACGGCTCACAAAAGGGAAGGAGGCAGGAAAAAGAACTGGGCTGGGGAGGCCTGAGAGGCCCCTGCAGACTCCTACCATTGGCAGTTAGGTTAGGAATTCTTCCTCCAAAAACTCCAAAAGGTCCACCTTTTCTTTGCAACATGCAATTTAATTCAATTTCTCAAACAACGGCTTTGTGACAGTTTGTCACTCTGCTGGATTGTCTAGCGGAGGAGAGGGGCTGATCCATGTAGGCAAGCTCATTAATATTTGTGGAGCATTATGGGGCGGCAGGGACAATGCCAAGTGTCTCAGATATGGAGTTTTGCAAAGCCGTTGGGAGCAGGCTTGCTGGAAACTCAGCCACCTCAGGACGCGGGTTTAGCAGGACGCGGGGCAAATCAATAACTCATTGAGCCTCAGTTTCCTCACCAGTAAAATGGTTCTCTTTGGAGGATTTTTTCATTCTTTCTTTCAACATATATTTCAGTTTAGTATAGGTCAGGCATCGTTTTGGGTATGGGGACATGGCAACGATCAAACTAAGCAAAAAAAAAGATTCCCCACCTCTAGAGCACCACAGTCTCCACATCACCCAATTCCGGGAAGTCAACACTAGTCATGCTAATAATCTCAGTAAAATCAGCCCCAAGCAGAACTCAGAATGCATCATGAATGGTGCCTTCTGGAATTGTGCACGGCAAGAGGCCCTAAGAGGGGAAGATGAAAGATAAATAAAACGAGAAATTTATATATGATAGAAGATGATAAGTGCTGTGAGGAAAAAATATTGCAGGGTAGGGGCCTTCAGGAATGAGGGAGCTCTTGGGGGCTCAAGTAAGAATGTGAAGCTAAACTTAGCACGGGGCATGGTAATAAGCACTCAGTAAACCCCTCAACAAACCCACAACATAGTGCATGTGAAGGAGCAGGCACAGATATGGGAGGTGACTTGCCCAAAGTCACCAGCATTCACTCCTCTGATGTATGACCCCAGATTCTGCCCATACAGATATGCAAAATTTGCTGCATTCTACTGGAGATTAAACCCGTTTCACATGCACTCAAGGCAGAATAAGATCTGTTCCGTAAAAATGAAATCAAGCACTACAGGGTTGCTGCCCCTGGAATTTCACATGTTAAGATAGTCATTAATATGTTCAGTTCAGTCGCTCAGTCGTGTCCGACTCTTTGCGACCCCATGGACTGCATGCAGCATGCCAGGCTTCCCTGTCCATCACCAACTCCCGGAGCTTGCTCAAACTCATGTCCAAGAGTCGGTGATGCCATCCAACCATCTCATCTTCTGTCGTCCCCTTCTCTTCCCACCTTCAATCTTTCCCAGCATCACAGTCTTTTCCAGTGAGTAGATTTTTCCCTTCAGGTGGCCAAAGTACTGGAGCTTCAGCTTTAGCATTAGTCCTTCCAATGAATATTCAGGACTGATTTCCTTTAGGATTGACTGGTTTGATCTTGCAGACCAAGGGACTCTCAACAGTCTTCTCCAACATCACAGTTCAAAAGCATCAATTATTCAGCGCTCAGCTTTCTTTATGGTCCAGCTCTTACATCCATACATGACTACTGGAAAAACCATAGTTCTGACTAGACAGACCTTTTTCAGCAAAGTAATGTCTCTGCTTTTTAATAACATGCATTGTCCCCCAAATTTGGTATTTTCACAAATTTGGTATTTTCACAAATTTCTCAAAATAATCTTCAATTTGCCTTTTTCTGAGTGCATAATAAATAATTTGATTTGGGTGCAGAAATGAATAGGTTATCCATGCAAGTCTATTGAGGCTTCCTAGACAAAGTGGTGGTTATAGTGAGTCTCCCCAGGTCAGCATGAGGAGGGGAAGGGCATTCCTATGGTGCAAACAGTATGAGCATGGTTGGGAACACACGGAATCTGCTTGGAAAAAGCAAGAGAGAAGTCCAGCTAGTGAATCACGGGGTTTACTATAGCTTCGTGCCCAGAGACAAGAGATTACAGGTTTCACGAGTAGATGCACTGGCCCACAGTCATTGCATCACCCCCTGCCTTTCCCTGCCCATAGCACATTCAGGTCCTCTACAGTGACCCCCGCTTTAAAACAGTGAAAGCCACACTTGTTACCTGAGACAGATGTGCTCTGAGATTAGCACCCCTGCCTCAAGCCTAGACTCTCAAAGGAAAATGGGAGCTATTAACATGCATTTAGGGATGTGACAAACTGGATTCCCTACCTGCCTCCGTGGTTCCAGCTGACGGGGGCCTTAAGTAGCTTCTGTGTCTTCACTGGGTCTCAGTTTCCTCATTTGTAAAATGGTGGGGATCTCACTCTTTGCACAGGATCCAACAGGAAATTTCAAGTGCCTGGAACACAGCAGAGGTCCATGGAGTATTACTTTTTAGCATCCAACCATTCTGGGTCTAGGACCAGAGGCGGGGCTCCATAGAAGCCTGGGATGGGTGCAGAAAGAGAGGAAGAAGAGAAAGGTTGTGCCCCCTGTGAATACATCAACACATACCATGAATCCACAGTACCCAGAATCTTTCTTCCCCAAGAAGAGGTGGTGTGACCTGGGCAGGCCCCTTGCACAGTGCCCTTGCTCTTTTCCTTCCAATCCTCTGCAGTTCACCCCAGTCTCCCAGCTGGCCTCTGTGACCAAACAAAGGGACCATCCCTTCCATGTGACCTCTTCTTCCTCGCTTATGAGAACCAACTGCCATTCCTGGTGATTATCCTTCACATGGTATTAACGGAAACCGGACTTCTGCAAAAATAAATGTCGTAGGTGGCAGGGTCAGGGGCTCTGCCACGTGATTTGATCTGTGCCACCCCTCCTCCAAGGATGGGAATACCCCTTGGAGGGTATACTTTACTTTCCTCAGGCTCATTTCCTGGATTCTTTTAGATATTCCTGAATTATACTAATGTTTAATATTTATTGAGCCCTCATTCCATACAGTCACTGAGCCAAGTATTCTACAAAAATGTTATCAATGACACAGACTTTATCAGTGGGTCAGGAGCTATAATCATCCTTGTTTCACAGATGGGCAAACATGGGGGACAGAGCAGTGCAGCAATTTGTCCAAGATCACACAACTAGCTAATAACTGAATCACTTGCAAGCCCACATCTGGCCACATCAGAGCCCAAGGACTCAACCAGTAGACTATCATATCCCAGAACAATAAGCGCAAGAATAACTGCTGTCAAGTAGTGACATTTTTCTTCAATCAATACTGTGTTCAACCTGAAGTTTGCCACTAAAAAAAAAATGTAGAGTTTAAAATATAAGGAAACCATGTCATAAACGGCCATTGATGAGGCTTAAATTACAATTACAGTTGAATAACACAAAACCCACTAAACTGGTTTCTTTTCCTGGTAGGGGAAAAAAAAGACTCTACTTGGAGGAAGAATGACCAGAATAACTTTTGGTTTAAGGCATTTTTATTTTTCTGGTCGAATATGAAACACTCCCAAAATGACTAATAAGAGTTGATATCTTTTGTGACATTCTCCAAAGCTACCAACTAATGCATCCTTGGCTGACTTGGTGAATAATTGAATAATTCTGCCCTTCAATCTCTGCTCTGGAAAATGAAAGCAACCACAGAACTCAGCTAGTTAGTGCCAGAATTGGATACAATTGATAGTGATGATGACAACATGTCTTGTGTGTATATACTGCTTTATATTTTAGAAAGCCTTTTCATATCGTTTCTCTTATTTGGTCCTCACAATAACCCCAGGGTAGGGTGGAGGGGGGGGGCAAGTGCGGCTGTTTTTAATCCTTGTTTCACTGATATGAGTAGATAAGTGGCAGTTTTAATGGAAGAATTATTTTATAACCTCAAGTATAATAACATTCCTGTGTCACAAGACCCATAAGCCATAAAAGCCTGACAGATTCAACTACAAAGCAATTTTTTCAAAATTCTGCCTGGCCAAAACCATCATAAACAAAGTCAAAGACAAACTGCAAACTGAGAAACAATAATTCCAATACCTATCATAGACCAAGGACTCATTTTCCTAATATACAATTCAAGCAAATATTTGTACATGAATGTTCCAGCAGCACTGTTCACAACAGCCAAAAGGTGGAAATAATCCAAATGTCCACCAAGAGATGAATGGATAAATAAAATATGTTTTTTCCATATAATGGAATATCATTCA